TTATTTTATTTTCATATGACTCGGATTTTGGTGGATATTCACTAGTTTTTTTCAAATGGCTACAGCACAGGTCACAAAATATATTTGCACATGGCTCAAGTTTTTGTTGATAGTCACGAGTTTATTTCAAATGGCCACAACATAGGTCACAAAATATTTTGCATATGACTCCTTTTTTTTTTTTATATTCACAGGTTAATTTCAAATGGTCAAAGCGCAGGTCACATGGTTTTTTTTGCACATGGCTCAAATTTCTTGTTAATGGTCACAGATCGGAGCACCGCCAAACAACCGACGAAGCAGATCGGAGGAAGAAACCAACCCAAAAGCCCAAACCCAACGCCACTGCTCCCCACCACACCACACCAACTCACCGTGACCTCCATCAACCATCGCCACTACAAAACTGCCTCCTGCCACTGCCAAATTCAATAAAACCCACCCCCAAACTGTCGATCCACCACCACACAAAACACCATCCAAACCCATTACCACTCCAGTGGAGGAGACTAACCTGGCCGGGGTGGATGTCCCGGCAGCTTTCCTTCACATTATCGCCGCCTAAGCCGTGCTGATTCCACTGGTGTTCGATCGGCGCGACATGTCCAGCGAACACCAGGAGAAACGGCGGCAGCCAGCCGAGCTCGTAGATCTTGTTAGGACTAGTCTTCTGTATCTCCATCCACCGCTCAATTCGTCACGTGTACCCTACCTGTCGCCATTTGACCAGATCTATGACCATCACTCCGGTGTTGACATAGCAAGGGTTTCTGCCGGAAAATACGCCGGGAAATTGTTGGTCCGACCAGAAGTACTCAGAGAATCTGTTCAAAGAGTCTGAGGATTTTGTCGGAACGCTTAATCGCAGATACGAATTGGTTTGAGAGGATTTAATCGCTTCCGCCAGAGTGAATAACTGAAGAAAAGGGGAAAGTGCAATCATCATCATTGCAGAGAAAAAACCCAGATAATTTTGGGTTTGAGAGAGACGGTGGTGAGAGAGAGTAGATGAGATGAGACAAATTCATTTTAGGGTTTGGATGGATGGATAGATAGGGTAGGGGGTGTGTATATAAATTAATTTATATTATTATTAATATAAAAAAATCTGTCTATATATAAAATATCTGACTTTTGAAAACTAAAACTTAAAAATCTGATTTTAGAATTTAGATCTCCAAAAGTAGAGAATTAAGTAATTTGCACAGAAATAATGATTGTCAAACATGGGCTTTAGATATGAATTAATCACTGGATTTCAGTATAATTGAAGATATGAATTGTCGATCATTGAATCTCTATCGTTGATCCTTGAGTGATTTTCCTTCGTCCATTGCTTTGACTCTGCCAAAAAAAAAAACTTAGAGATGATTTCTTTCTTCAAACATAGATCTCGAGTTCTGCCTCCTAATGATTTTCTTTTGACATTAAAGATTCATTTAAGTACAAAGTCATACGACTCGTTTAAATTTCTAGATATCATTATTATTTTATAATTTATATATATCTTCAAAGCACCCAAAAACGTATTTAGACGGCCTCAAAATCCTAGAATTTTAAGATTTCAAATTCACCTCGAAGGTTGAGATAAGGGGTTGCACCCACGCATCCATGTAGCGCCCATGCACCAAGATAAAAATAAAAGAATAATAATATCTAACACTAGTGACGTTGAATATCAATTTAGGTGTCACTATATGTAGGTCCTATTGAATGAATCACGATTCCTTGTATTTAACTAAACTTCTAATTTAATAACACTAGTTTTACCACCTAAATTGATGTCAAACACAAGTAAAGTAATCATAAATTACACAACTCAAAATAAAAACATGCAAGGAGCTTATAGGATTCACTCCCTCAATCAAATTTTGAATGTACATAGCCCCTATTTGACACCCATTTTAATCTCATTCTTATTTTTTTCTCTTTCATTTCAATTATACATTCTTCAAATAAAATAATATTACAGACAAATCTAAAAAAATTCTTCACTTTTCCACCACATATTTTCTCACCAATCACTATTCGAAAAATTCTATTCTCGTTTTAAGGAGATTCGAACACACACTATTTATAATTATTTTTTTGCGTTAGACTTCAAATTGAATTATCTTTCCAATGGTATCATATGTGATTTAAATAGCCTGCCGGGGCATGAACACCAACTCCTTACTCTTAGGTACTTGATTCATCAACCCGAAAGTAATGATTTATGAGAATGAATCCACGAACGACAATATTTAGACACTCTTACTAGTAACACAGATTAAAAGTTATAAACAACAACATTACAAACCTAAAATACATATCTCGATATCAAAGATTGTTTAAGGACATGGACAAACTACTAGAAAATCTTCGAAACAACAACATTACAAACCCAAAATACAATACATATCTCGATATCAAAGATTGTTTTAAGGACATGCAAAACTACTAGAAAATCTTCAAACTTAGTACTATATTTACATCCCTTTCCCCTAATAAAAACCATAGCTATAAAACCGGCCTGACCCGAACCAAATGGTCGAGCCTGGAAACCGGTGTCTCTGGCCCTTGCCCAGGCCAGGTATATTAATTTGATAGGAATGCACATAATTCGATCAAAAATGGGCTTTGACCGATTTAACCGCTCCTTAAATATTATAACGGCATATCCGATTTACCTATTTTCAAAATTGTCTTCTAAAATTTGGAAGTCATTTCTTGGACCTCAAAGTAAAACAATTAATTCCTCACCATTGTAATAGTATAGTACTTTAATATCTTTTATGTGCAATAACTTATATGT